TACTAGAAAAATTGAAATTAGATCAGATAGAAGTTACGATGTCTTTTGATAGTTGGACAAATGTTCGTGAACAGGAATTGATGGAAACTGTGCTCGTAACATCTGATGGGCAACCTTTTGCATGGCAAGCTAAAGATATAAGTTGTGAGCATGCAACAACTACTGAAGTTATGTCTAAAACTGAAGGAATGATATCTGAAATAAACAAGATGAAAATAACACTTTTAGCTATTATTACAGATAGTGTATCTGCTTACAATACTGCATGGTACGTAAATAATTATTTAATTAATAAATACTTTTAAATGCTTTACTATATTTTACTAATTTTATTAAATTAAAATTTTAGAAAAAGACTTTGAATTCAATATCATAATATTGTTTTTTTGCCTTGTTTCGCTCATCAGATAAATTTGTGTGTTGGGGATATCTTTAAGGCATTACCAGATTTTAAATTAACATCAGATCAAGCACTAAAGTTAGCGGCTTATTTTAAAAATGCAAATTAAAAATATTTTATAGGTCAACTTTGAAATATTCAAAAGGAAATATATGGAAAATACATTTAGCCTGCAATTCCTAGAGATAGTAGGTGGAACAGTTATCTTAATTGCTGTCAAAGTTTAATTTCAACTAAGGAAGCTTTGCATGTAAGAAATTTTCTTTTTTAATAAATCTTTACTAGTAATATAATATATAATATTTATATTAAATAATTTTTTATTTATAGTCTTTAGCTGCAAAATTTGAGCCATCTATTTCTTCAAAATGACATCGAGCAACTAAACTATTAGCAATATCACAAGAAATTTATTTTATAATTATGGATGACACTTTTTGGGAATTGTTAACAACTTTAGAATTTCTTTTAGATCCTTATTGTCATGTCCTTAATATCTTGCAAACTGATAAAGCAAGATTACATGAAGTCTTGCATTGTTTTGCTTATTTATATCAATTTTGGAAAGAATTTCCAGATGATGATATGGCTGATGAAATTCTATTATGATTACAGAAAAGATGGGAGACACAACTCGAATCGATAGCATATGTGCCGATTTTTGGAATTAGTCTAAATTAAGATTTTTATAAAAATTTAATTTTTTAGTAAGATTAACATTACACAAATCTAAATTAAATATGTGTTACATATTTACGTAACTCAGATTTAATAAAAAATAAAAAAAATTTTTTTAATCAATATTCAAAAATAACGGTAATAACCACTTCTTTTTCCCCATCACTGCCCATCACTTTTCCATTATTTTTCTATTCACTTTTATTAAATATGACAAAAAAGTTTATAAGCAAATATAGCAGTTATTTTTAAGTGGTAAGTAAAAGAAAAAACTTAATATTTTATATACATAGATAAGACATATTTTTTCATAATTTTTAGCTTTAATTTATTGTTTTTTCTTTGTAAAAAATACATGCAAATAAAAAATAATTATGATGTAAAATAGTTGTAAAATGAATAATAAGATATTCTTTTTTTTTCAAAATAACTAATTATATATTTGTTTTTTATCTTTTAAAATTATTTTATTAGATTTATTCTACTAAAATCCTTAAATGGCAAATAAAATCTTTTAAATAAAGTAAAAGAATTTGGGATTCTCTTATGAAAGCATTTTTTGGTAAGAAATAAAATTTTCAGATCGGACTTTATGCAGGTGACAAAATCGTGCATTATTATTCCTGGAGATATGCTAACGTCATCATTTTACATTCATTTGAAAGCTGAGAATTTGCTCTATCGTAAGAATCAAAGATCAGGAAAATTGGATCACTGGATGAGGCGTAATTAACGATCAAAGTCAAATCAAATTTAAAAATTAAAAATAAATATATTAGACGTAATTATTCACAATCCAGTGATTCAATTCATTCGATTTTAGGCTTATTAGATAGACCTCAATTTTCTCTTTCAAATGAATATAATTTCATTCGTGTAGCTTGCATCTACAGGTATTTAATAAATTTTTTTATATCAGATTTTATCAAACTTATAAAATTTTATATTAATAATATAATTGATGATTCCTAAACATCTACATATATTAAACGAATTATTTTAAATTTATTTTAAAGATAAAAGTTGGCATCACCTTAGGGAGCAAAGATCATTCAAATTGAATCACTATATGTGAAGTAATTAATGATCAAATTTAGATAAAATTCAATAATATACTGAACGTGATTACTGAACAACTAGTGATTCAATTCACTTGATTTTAGATTTATTAGATAGATCTCGATTTTCTCTTTCAAATGAATGTAAATTTATTTGTATAGCTTATTTCTACGAAGAATTATCAATGATTTTGTCATGAGAGTTATATTTGATCTTTTAAATTTTAATGATATCTTATATTAAAAAAAAATTAAAAATTATATAATTAATTAGTTTTTTTTGCATTATCTAGTATAAATTTATTATTCTTATATAAATGATAATTTATATTTGCTTTAATAAAATTATTTTTGTGTAAAAAAATTAGATTCCAAGGATCGGCCCATATGGGATTGACAATATACATAATTACTGATAAGCTTTAGATTAATTCAGCACTACAGTCCGTACAATCAAACGTTAAAAGACTTTGTAGGAGCAACTAATTCTTATACTATCCTGGTTACTTCATCTTACATACACAATGAAATATTTTCTAATGCCCTCAAAATCAAAAATTAGTTATTTACACATGAAAAAATGGCTAGTTTACTATTATAAAGCTTGGACTGGTCATAATTCTGAATCTATTCTTACAGAATTTGATGATTTTTCGCAAGGAATTAAATATCCTTTTGATGAAGCATCTGTTGCTCAATTTAAAGGTAATATTTACAAATATTGGTGTTGGGTTCGTGATGCTTACCCAGAAATTGGAACTGTCGTGGTGCATATGTTTGGTATTTGTGTTAATGCAGCATCAGTAGAGCGATTATTATGGAGTAGTATGGGATTCTTTTATACAAAAAATAGAAATAGATTAAAGGTAAATTTATATTATACCGTAATTAATTAATACTAAATTAATAATATTTTTATATATTTATATTAATTATGTAGTTTACTCAAGTATTAGAAATGGCTAAATTATGAGCTGATATTAACTATAATCGACGTAATAATCAACAAGAATCTGCTAATAATACTATGACCGAAAATAAAAATAAAAATAAAAATGATAATGAAAATGAAATCGGAGATGAAAATGAAAATGAAAGATATTTACAAAATGAAGAATTAAATGATAATGATCTTAATAATGATCAAGGTAGCATAGATTTAAAAGAAAATTTAAATTCTCAATTTAACAATCATTTAAACGAATGGTTAGAAGAACTATAGCAAGAGGAAGATGATGAATATGATGGTGAACATGATGAATATAGTGAAAGTAAAAAAGATTTTAGTGATATAAATGTTGAAGATATTGAGCATCCAGCAGAAAATATTGATGCTAAATGGAAATTAGAATTTATTTTTGAAGATAATTTGTGTAATCCTTTTAATGTATAATTTTCTTTTATAATATATAATAAATAAATTTACATAACTTGTATAAATATTAATTAATAAGTTACATATATAATATATTGCATATATATGAAAATGTACTGTACTAAAAAGTTTCAGTACAATACAGTACTGTACGTACTGTACGAAATGTACTGGTACAGTACAGTACAAATCCTAACTCTGGTTAAAGGTACGTTTTTATTTTTTTTTTATTTTTTGTTTTTGTTTCATTTTTCGCTTCTTGTTTTTTGTTTTTTGCTTCTAATATCTTTTTTCTTTCTTTAGGTCTTTCTTCAGTTTTGCAGTCAAAGAAATTTTCAGTTTTATAGTCAAAGGTACATTTTATTTATTTATTTATTTATTTTGTTTTGTTTCATTTTTCACTTCTTGTTTCTTGTTTCTTGCTTTTAATATCTTTTTTTTTTCTTTAGGTCTTTTTTTCAGTCCTGCAGTTAAAGAGATTTTTCTGGTTCTATAGTCAAAAGTACGTTTTTATTTTTTTTTCTTTCTTGTTTTTTATAATATCATTTTTCTTTCTTTAGGTCTTTTTTTCAGTTCTACAATCAAAAGAGATTTTTCAGTTCCATGGTCAAAGGTACATTTTTATTTTTTTTCTTTTCTGTTTTTTGTTTTCATTTCATTTCTTGTTTCTAATATTTTTTTTTTTCTTTAGATCTATCTTCAGTTTTGTAATTAAAGGTGTGTTTTTTTTNATGAAAATGTACTGTACTAAAAAGTTTCAGTACAGTACAGTACTGTACGTACTGTACGAAATGTACTGGTACAGTACAGTACGAATCCCAACCCTGAATATAGTGATTTGTTAAATTAATGATTTATTTTTAGTAATATGCAAAAATTTAATTTAAGGAGTAAAATAAGGGATTAATCTGGTAGAATATAAATGTTATGACTTACCAAAATTAGTAATATATCAGTAGAAATACACAATTAATTAAATATTATAATTATTAAGATGTGTTTAATTTTAACCCTTTAAATATTGTGGCACAAAATTCTATAATCAGAAATTTGTATAAACACAAATTTTAAGGGGGAGGAAAGTTTGTAGTGCTATAAATATAAAACCAATTTTAACTTCGAATAAAATAATATTCCAGAATTAAAGAGATCATCTATATATTGTGTAATATTAATGGAGGACCCCGAGCAATATATATATAGGTAACAATATTGTTTGCTTAGCCACATGCTGTTTTGGCCACAGTTAGAGGTTATAACTGCGTAAAATCAACGATATTTGTGGCTAACATCATATTTTTTATTTGCTTAATTTTGACGGGATTTTCGATAAGTCATATGTTACGATTGCTTATTTTTTGGATAAATTTGGCAATATTTAAATTATGAAAAATGAGATCATCGTACTAATTAAAAATTGTAATATTTGTTACACAACTATACAAAATAATATATTGTAACATTTGATCAATGATAATCTTTCAACATCATGTCGTCTTGGAAATATAGTAAAGAACGACTTTTAAAACATGAATATTGTGCACATATTATTAATGCTAAAAAGGTTATATGTATTTGTGGCAAAACAATCAAACTTAATAGGCGGTATGAAGAAGATTACTTAAATCGTCATGCAAAAAGCTCTGGCTGTAAAGCAAAAGAAGGTCAAAGGACAATTTACAACTTTTTTAAACCTGTTCAAGTTGAAAATATGGAAAGTTCGGAAGATGAATTTGATTCTNTCTATCATTCCCATTCATTTTTTTCATTCCCTATCATTCCCATTCATTTTTTTCATTTCTCTTCGATTTTATTTTTACCTTCTATTTCATTTTTTTGCTTCCTCTATCTTTTTTCCTTTTTTTCTTGTTTTTTTTATTCTTGTTTCTTGTTCTTTCTCATCTCTTCTCATTTTTCTTGTACTCTTTTATTTTTTGTATTTTTCTTTACCTTTATTTCTTTATAATTATAATCATAATCATTATTTTTTTTCTTTTGTATTATTTATTTACTACTAGACTAGTCCATTAAAAATATAGCAGTAAAATTTTTGATTTTGGATATGGTTAATCTTTTATTTTTCCAGTTAATAAAATAAATAAATATGTTTAATATTCTTTGTAAATAAAATTCTATTATGTAGATTTATGTTGAATAAATTTTTTATGAAAAAATTTAATATTGTCTTTGTAAATAAAATTTTATTATGTAGATTTATTTTAAGTTAAAAAAATTAGCCAATCAAAATTTAATTTAAGGGGTGAGTAATAATATTACTAGTACTCCTAACAGATCAGTTCAGACTGGATTCAGCTTAAATCTGATCTGATCTGAATCCGATCAGATCTGGTTCAATTTGATTCAAATCTGGTTCAGATCCATTTGAATCTGATTTGAATCTGATTTGAATCTGGTTCAGATCTGGTCCTTGTTCTAAAAAAAGGAAGGGAACGTTAATTAGTACGTTTTCTTAAGTAAAAATAAAAAAAAAGAAAAAAAGAAATGAACTTACCATAGTTCATTCTTTTTTTTAAATCCTAGTCGTTCAGCTTCATCTCACGTTCAGGTTTCCTAAAAAAAAGGGAACGTTAATTACGTTCCCTTAAGTAAAAATAAAAAAAAATAAAAAAAAGAAACGAACTTACTATACATCAGGAAATTTTTTAGGGAGCAGATCTGCGCAGATTTTCAGAAATTATTTCTGCGCAGATCTTATACCCTGGCGCGATACTGCAAAGAAAAAATTTTTATGATTTCTGCGCAGAACTTCAAGAAAATAAAGTTCTGCAACAATCTTCAAAAATTAAATCTGCGAATTAATTTAAAATAATTAGTACAAATAATACTTCAATTTTATAATACTTCAATTTAACTAATATCAATTAATTTACTTAATTTATTTAATTTAGATATATTTACAAGTAATACTATTTATTAGTAAATTCGTTAACTAATTTACTCTTTTCTCTATTTGTTGTTAATGGTTTGTACATTGTTCCAGTTGGTTCGATTCCAACAAACAACTATTTAAATTTGCATTTAAGAAGTGCCCAGGAACTTGTAGACCTACAAAAAGTAGAAAAGTAAAAACGTTCAGTTAGTTAGTAACGTTTCGTTAAGAAAAAAAATAAAATTTTAAAGAACTTCAAAGAATACCTTCAAAGTTCCCTTTAGATATCATCCAAGAAGTCGTGGACCTATAAAAAGAAAATACGTTAGTAAAGTTTCATTAAAAAAACAAAATAATTGAAGTTTCGAAACTTACTATTCTAAAGGTCCTAACCGATACCTCTGAGAAGTCGCAGACCTATAAAAAAAGTAAAGTTTCATTAAAAAAAAACAAAAAAATTAAAAAACTTCAAAGAATACCTTTGAAGTTCTCATCCAAGAAGTCTCCTCCTGCTCTTGCACCAGCTCCAGCTCCAGCTCCTGCTGAAGCACTAACTCCCACTGAAGCTCAGGCTCCCACTGAAGACCAGCACTGAATGATGATAAAAAATTGATTTCTGTAACTGGATTAAGCATAAGACGAGGCTGTACTCAGACCTATAAAGAAGTTCTTATCCAAAAAGTCATGGACCTAAAAAAAAGGAAACGTTAATTAGTAACGTTTCATTAAATAAAAAAAAAATAAATTAAAAGAACTTCGAAAAATACCTTCGAAGTTCCGTCCAAGGAGCTTTCTAGGAACCCGTAAATTTACAACAATAAAAAAACGAAAATGTTAGCAAATGTTTCGTTAAAAAAATTAAAAGAACTTCAAAGAATACCTTCGAAGTTCTTTCCATGAACTTTTCTATAAAGCAGTGTTGGCCAATTTTATAAATCCAGTTATTTTGACTGGAAGCCGCAAAACTACAAAAAGAAAGTCGAAATGTTAGTAAACATTTCGTTGGAAAATAAAAAAAAAGAAAAAATTTTGAAGTTTTACTTCAAAATTGTTAAATTGGAGATCGGGGCTTCCTGTACTTACAAAAGAAAATAAATGAAGAGTTAGTTAAACGTTTCATTTTCATTTAAAGAAAATAATTTTGAAGGTTACCTTCAAAATTTTACTTTTGAAATTCCTTTAAGGAAAGCTGCGGACCTACAAAAAGAAAGAAACGAAAATGTTAACAAACATTTCGTTAAAAAAAAATAAAATAAAAAAATTCGAAGTTTACCTTCGAATTGGGATTCCAGTCGAATTCCCGTACCTAAAAAAAAATAAATAAAATAAGAAACAACAAAAATAAAAAACAATAAAATTTCAGTTTTTTTTACCTTTGAAATGGGAATCCGGAAGATTAGGCGTCCACGATACGAATTGTGGATAAACGGATTGAAACACTAAGTCCGGAAACTGAAGAACCTAGAGAAAATGAACGAGATTAGCAGAAGGAAATAAGATAAAATGAAAAAAATAAATAAAAATAAAAAAATACAACCCACCCATCGTCTTCAAAGTCCAAAACCGAAGAACCTAAAGAAAATGAACGAGATTAGCAGGAGGAAATAAGATAAAATGAAAAAAATAAATAAATATAAAAAAATACAACTCACCCGTCGTCTCCAAAGTCCAAAACTGAAGAACTAAAGAAAAATAACGAAATTAACAGAAGGAAACAAGACAAAATGATAAAAAGAAAATAAAAATAAAAATAAAACTCACCCTTCGTCTCCAAAGTCCAAAACTGAAGAACTTAAAGAAGAAGAAAAACGAAATTAGCAAAAAATAATAAGAACGAAACAATAACAAAAGAAAAGAATAAGAATTAAAAAAAAGTCCCCTACCAGTTATCTCTGAAGGACCTAAAGAAAAAAAGGATTATCTCCAGAGTCCAGAACTAAAAGCTGGATAATCTCAATCCATTAGTAACATGGATAATCCGGATGAAATCCTTCAATCTTTTTTATCCGATCCGTTTACAAAAATTTTATCCAGATAACCGTAAACACACCAGGACCTAAAAAAAGAAATGATGAACGTTAGTAACGTTCATTAAATAAAAAATTTAAAAATAAAAATTCGAAGGTTTCTTTTTACCTTCGAAATAAGAGTCTGGAGCCATTCTTCGGCGTCCAGGACCTAAAAATTTGAAAAAACGAACGTAAGTAACGTTCGTTAAAGTTAAAATATAAAAAAACAAACATTACTGCTGTTCGTTAAATTAAAAATAAATTCGAAGGTTTTACCTTCGAAAATAAGTCCGGAGCCGTTATTCGGCATATATGACCTAAAAAGTCAAAAAAATGAACGTTAATAACGTTCGTTAAACATAAATAAAAGTCCGGAGCCATTATTTGGCGTCCAGGACCTAAATAAAATATAAAAACGAACGTTTAGCAACGTTCGTTAAATATAAATATAAAAAAAATCAAAGGTAATGTTTTACCTTCGAAATTAACGTTCGGAGCCATTCTTTGGCGTCCAGGACCTATAAAATATAAAAACGAACGTTTAGTAACGTTTGTTGAAATAATAATTAAAAAAAAATTCGAAGGTAAAGGTTTTATCTTCGAAATTAACGTCCAGAGCCGGAACTTAGTTTCGGCTTCCTTTATCTAAAAAAATAAGACAAAACGTTAGTTGACGTTCGTTAATAAATTTAATAAAAAAAAATATTTTTTTTTTTTGAAGGTTTTACCTTCAAAGTAAAGTCCGGAGCTGTTTTTGGCGTCCAGGACCTATGAAATATAAAAACGAACATTAATTAACGTTCGTTAAATAATAATAAAAAAAAAATCAAAGGTAAAGGTTAGGGTTAGGGTTAGGGTTAGGGTTAGGGTTAGGGTTAGGGTTAGGGTTAGGGTTAGGGTTAGGGTTAGGGTTAGGGTTAGGGTTAGGGTTA